GGGTGTTGTCACTGGCACGACAAAGGCTCTACAAGGCCAGGGGTTCTGACCCCCGAATTAGAGAACAGCGTTACAAGACATTTAAACGCGATTTAACGAGTCCTCCGGCCACGGCGTACAAAATCCCTTCCCGACGCCCCCGTCGAGAATGAATTTCCACAGATGCTTTCACCACGGAGCGTTGGGAAAAGGCAGACGACGGGGATCCGACGTGCAAAACGTTTGGCCTTTGCAAATAAATGCAAATACATTCCTCGTATAGCAGTCATTTTGGCAATAGTATTAGCAAGCAATATGCTTGGATAACCGATTTCCACTGGTGCCATTGCAAACTCTTCCTTGTTGGACAACAAAAGGCCATTTGCAGCATTCTGGAAGAAAGAAACACACGGACTCAGGAGCAGGATCCAGTCACGCCGGCACAGCAGGCGCCCGACTAATGGTTTTAAAGCAGCCGCAATACAAAAAACAGTTGGAAAGAAACCAAGTCCCAGCTCCCAGGATGACGGGCACACAACTTCTACTCTCACTCAACGCTTCTGATTTTCTTTTTTTAGCACAATATACTGCTTTTACATAGAAACTAGTTTTTAAAGGGTCATTTGTAGTAAGAAAAATGACATTTTATGTTTTAGCGTGGCGGCTAGCTGAAGAGAGAGATGGAAAAACATCTAACATATCAACAGTTGTATCTGGAGCAGAAGCCCAGGGTAGCAGCTTTGTTTTTTCAAACTGACAGCAGATGTGACTGCTTTATCTTCCCTTCCACGGGTCCACGGCACATCCTAGAAGACAGCTGGGGAGCAGCTCAGCTCATCTACACATTTCCACATCCCGTTTCAATGCTCTCCGCAGGGACAGTCGGTAATAACTCTCCCAAGCGGCTGATTTAGATTTTGCTGAAGTAAGCATGTTTTCAGAGCTCAGAAAAAGAATTTCCGACAAATCGTCTCACATAACGGTATTGTTCTGAAAACCTAGAGCAACTGTGAAGGAGATCATTTGCGTAACGAGCGTGCCTGGAGCAGCCTGGCTAATCCACAGGCACAAGAAATTACACAAGCAAAATGCTAACCCTGGAGCAATGCAGGCAGATTTGCCTGAGTCCCAAAATGATGTACGAGGTCTTACCTGGAAATCATTAATTTTCCTAGTGAGACGATGATGTGTTCTGAGTCACCTAGAATAACCCGGAAACAGAAGGGTCAGCTTTAAGCTACCATCTGCAACTCAAAACATTCCCGCTGTGTTTCCAGAAGCAAGAAAAGGAAATGTTTAGGACACAGAAAGCAGCACGAGGGCAGAGAACCAGCAGCCAGGAGACGCTGCCACGAGACTGCAGCCTCTTGCTTCGCTACCCTTCACGCAACACGAACCACCCGGGGCGGCCGTCTGGGAATCGCCAGCCACACCTCTTGCAGTGAAAGCCACCACACACTCGCTTCACCAGCAGCCCTGCTTCCTCAGTCCAGGACTGGGCTCTGCATCTTCTCGCCCGACACTGGCGACGCAGCTCAATCCCCCCTGCTTTCTTTAGGAGGCCACGTGTTGAGCAGGCAAGACCTGGCACCTTGGATTGAAACATCAACACCAACCTACTGCATCTCCATGCTGTGCAGGTAGCGATTTCCGGAGAGTCAAGAAGTCTTTTTTTTTTTTTTTTTTTTAAGTCTGTATGTACAATGGCTGTTGGACTGCTCTGCATCACAAAAGATGGTTATTAATTGTTTTCAAGCACTGCTCTTTAGGGAGGGAGCCCCATAGTCTACTTTTGACACCTGAACGCAATCACCAAAGTGCAAGAACTAGAAGACCTATCTGTAACCTGCAAATCAGACAAGCCACCCTTCCCTAAGGCAGGCAAGACCCACGGCAACGAAAACTTTAAGAGTTTTGGAACAGAGAGCAAGGTGGGAAGCGCCTTGAAGTCAGAGAATGAAGAGCAAAATTTCTGATGAGTGAACGCAGAACTCCACAGCACAAAACCATACACACGAGCAGACCAGGAAGGAGGTGAGAGAGATGAATGAGCAGGGTCTGAGGAGCACAGAATACACAGGACATCAACAACAGAAGTGTGGAGGGTGGGAGCAGTGATGACTTCTAGCAGGAAGGACAGGCACATCGTCCCCATGGATCGAGGCAGGAGAGCAGGGACGTTTCCCGCAGTCGGCTGCCCAGCCTGCAAATGCCCATAAGAGGGAGCAAGGGACCAGGCACCCAGGATTAACCAAACGGGGCAAAGCCCTCAGAAGGGACATCAGACTCTTACCTGCAGATGACCTTTCAAATTGGCTGGCGTTTTATAATCCCCCTTTAAAACCTATGGAAAAGAGAAAATTGGGAGTGACCCTTCTGGGGCAGTGGCTCTATGAACATCGGCAAGTCCACCTCATTAACTGCGTCCTATGTCCCAGCATACCTGAACCAGCAGAAATACCCTGATGGGCATTTCTTCTACATCGAGGTGCTATACTGGGGCAATAGTGGGAGGTTTCGTCCTTCATGACTGTAAGCAAAGACGGGGAACAGCATCCTGCTGGGGCAGGGAACCGACACAAGCAATTCTCTGCTTCCCCCCTTAGCCTGGGACGGAAGAGTATTTCAGTCTTTACCATCGTGCCAGTTCTCCAAATTCATCCCAGGAAGTACAGAAAGGTCCATGTCAGAGACCCAGGGTCCCTAACCCTGCCCAGGGCAGATGTTCACCCAAATCACCTGTGTCCTAGAACAGCTCTCAGCAAGCAGAGAGCAAGGAGGCGCCGTAAGAGACCAGAGCACTCAGAGCACGGACCAGCTCCAGCTCTTCCGACCTTCTAGGTCAGTGCTGCTACTTGCCTGCCTGCCCACAATCTGCACATAGTACCGCGGGGACTGGTCCCACCCACAGGCGTTCCCCTGCTCCCACCAGTGTGACAAAGCACACCTCGTCCAAGGGCACCGTCACGGGGAACACGTGCAAAGCTGAGGGGGCTGCAGAGTCCAGCCTCAGGTTGGGGAGGAACCCGTCCACCTCAAAGCATGAGAAACTCCCTCTGCTTAGTAACTGCTGTCTGTGGCTTTGCAGCTTCTTCCTCCCAGTTCTGCTCCAGGGACATGAGTCAATATTCTAAAAAAAACCCCTTTTGGTTTTGCCCAAATGCATTATGAGCCTCCACTTGCATTCCCCATGGGAGTGGCTGGTGAGCTACACACGGACACAGCACAGTCTGCGTGTCCTCCTGGGGCCAGACCGGCGTGTCTAGTGCCTACAGCTGTGCACCTAGATAACATCAGCACACACACCAGTAACTCCCACGTCTGGGTTTGAGAGCGGGGCTGGATCAGGGAGGGACAGGGCAGTATCTGCCGCAACAGAAGAAACAAATACCACCACAAAAATCATGGGGAACATCATCAGTTTGAGCCACGCCAGACTCAATCTACCACACACATCTGTTCTGAAATCATCTCAGTGTAACTGCGTGTCTGTCGTTCCCAGTCTCCCGAAAGGAAGAGAGCGTTTGCGTCTCCCCTGCTCTTTTCTGATTGGGTTCAGCAGCCTCTTCTGCTCCAGAGGGCCCTGTGGCTGCAGAGACCCACAGCCCCACGTCAGCGCTCCCTCCCCGCGACCGCCCGGCAGCGCCCCAGGCAGACGGCAGCGACACTCACTCTGTGCGTGTTGTTTACAACTAAGGGGTCGGGGTGGCCGTAGTTGGGTGGGTTGGCGTAGGGGTCGTAACCGAGCCTGGCGAGCATCGGTGCGATGTGGGCCATGTCCTGCAGCACATCCCCCGGGATGTGCCCGATCCACTTAGATAACGCCTCCATGTTCACCGGCTTGATAACCTGGTCTGTTGACCTTTCTATCCTGGGGAAAAATAATAAAGAAAAAAACCAAAACAAGACACTGAGGTCGGATTTCACGCACGTACTGGGCTCAGACAGAAGAGCCTTCAGCTAGGTGCACTGCCACTTCAACATTTTGCTTCCAATGCCCAAGACACGTGTGCAGCACAAACGCTCGTCGCCTGCCGGGTCCGCCTGGGGCAGAGCCGGCGCGAGGCACTGCAGGGCAGCCCCGGGGCAGCCGCTTCCCACTCACAGCCCTGCTCTGGGGCTGCGGATCCTGACAGGGGTTTCCATAGCCCCAGAGGTTGGGTCCCCCTGTACGGGGGGATCCATCCTGCACCGGGGTCGGGGTGTTACCAGGACACCCCTGCTTATTACAGGAAAATAATGAAAGATGTGTTGTCTGTAGCACAGATACACCACATGACCCCACTGAAAATCCAAAAACTTATCTGTTTAGGTAACCTTGGCAAAATTTACTCTGAGCAAATAGTGATGAAAGCCCTGGAGAAACCATTGCTTCAGCCATCAAAGGTGCCAGCACCTCTCTATGCTACACCATAGCTGCCTTCCTGGTCCGCCTGGGCTAAGGGTGCTGGGACGTGCTCCCCATCAGCCATGCTCCCTGCCCTCCAAACCCCGAGGAGCGAGCCCCTCGCAGGTACAGCCCCCCCTCTGCACCCTGTGCTCGGCGGGATGCTGGCCCGGGGCGAGCAGCCGCCTGCTTGACTCGCCTAAGGGCAAACCACACCCCACGCAGCCGGCCCCCCCCCCCGCCTGCTTGACTCCAGCCAAAGGAAACCACACCCCACGCAGCACAGGCGACGCAGCGTCCTAAGAGGGAATGAATGGGCACAGAGGCTGCGGATCCTGAGTCTCGTGAGAACGTCCCACTTACCAACTGCAAAGGCACAGGCAATGCTGCACAGCCTTGTCTGGAAGAGCATCTCACGGCGGAGGGAAGCGGAGCCTGGCCGTACACCCACGTCCGTCCCCGAGAAACGGAGCAGCTGCGTGTCCACAGCTGCCCTCACCACTTGGGCATAAGCAATTTATACAAAGACTGCTTGTATGGTTCCTTTACACCACTGACTAAATTTTGCCAAGTTAGACTTAAGCCTCCATTTAGGAAATAAAGAGCATTAAAAGAGGAGAAGAAGGTGGGAGCAGGCAAGCACCCCCCTAGCACCCAGAGATGGACCCCAGCCAAGGAGGGAGTGCTGGGGTGTGTCTCCACGGAGCAGGTATTTCTTTCATTCTGCAATACCAGCACCAAACCTGGCAAGAATTGCTGCTCACCGCTGAAAGCCATTCATTAGCAGCAAAACTAATTGTGGTAAAGAGGTATTTGAGGATGGGTGGAGAAAAGAGGCATTAAAGAGCCCACGTTTCAGAGCAAGCAGTTCTTTTCAAATTAGAGACCAAAATAATTTCTGCACTGTCAAGACAGATGAATAAAGCAGTCACCTGCTCCTAAAATCCTCGCCTGACAAGCTGCTCTGTTGGGTACAACAGATTGATAGTATTCAAGCCGTCTTCTACTCAGAAACACAAAACCTATTGCAGCAAAACTGGACGTGCTGCCACTTCTGCCCCTGAAAAAGCATGCGTAAACACAAGCGATGCATCTTTGCCCCCAGTTTTAGCCTTGACCTGCTTTGTGTAACGAAAATGCTCCTCGAAAAGCCAGGGCAGGAGCCGAGACACTCACTTGGAAAGCGACACCCCGCCGGGCTTCCCTATCAGCTCCTCGTGGTGCAGCACCGTGTTGCTCCAGGAGATGTCCAGGAACTTCATGATGGCATGCATGGACTGCTCGGGGTGCAGCACCAGCTGCTCATAGTAGACGGGCAGGCATCGGGACCGCCCGATCTCCAAGCACTGGGAGTACATCACCTCGATGGCTTTGTTCCACTTGGTCAGGCAGTCTCGATAGCTGTTCAGGTCGAAGCCCGCGATTGTCACTTTCCGCGTGATCATGGAGTGGACCGAAGCCCGACCGTCTCGAACCATCAGGAGGAATTTGGAATTGGGGAACAGCCTGGACAGGTAGACAGAGGACTTCAGTGTGAAGGGGTCCTTGTTACACAAATACCTGGCTGGCTCGCCATGCTTGGCGATCACTTCCAGTATAAAGGCCTGCATAGCGGCGTCCAAAACTTGGTCCGTCACCCCCGCTTCGTCCAGGCGCATCTTCTCTCGCCCCGATTTGGACCAGGCCTGCCGCATCGCCAGCACGCGGGGGATGATGCGGGTCTCCTCTCCACAGCGCACCTCAGGGTGGGCATCGAGCATGGCCCTCATCAGCGTCGTGCCGCTCCGTGGGACCCCACCAATGAATATCAGGGGCATCTCCTTGCTGTAACGGTACTCGATGTGGTTGGAGTCCATCATGACCAGCTCCTCGTTCTCGGGTCTCATCAGCCTGTGCCTCCTCTCGCTCAGGACCTGCTGGCACTCCAGGACCTGCTGGCCGAGGTGTAGAGTCACCATCAGGGCGACCACCGAGCCCACCACCAGCAACACCCTCCTCATGGTGACCCGCATCCTGTTCTCCTCCACACAGGCTGGTGACCACGCTTCAGCTTTCAGCTAGCAAGTGTTCAACCCAACGGGCATCTGCAAGAGAAACACAGCACGGTCAGAGGAGCAGGAGCCGCAATCCAGCCTGGCGGCACCTCAGCATCCAGCCTGGCTCCTTCAGGATGCTGACACCATCCCAGGCTTTCGTCATCTCTTTCACTTATCAGCAACTTCCAGGCTAGGTGCCTTCTACCCAGGAGGTAATTAAAGTCTGCCTCAGAGCACACCCAAAGAGATTATTTCTGGACTGTTTGCGTACCCAGAATCAGAGGTTTACAGCTGAAGCAAAGCTCCAGGAACGTTTCGGAGAGGAGGGGCCACGCATACCCAGTCAGTCCTTAAAAAAATCTTTACAGAGAGTCTGTTCCATCCCAGATGAAGCCCAAACCCTCCCTGCAGTTCTCCTTCCTTCCAAAACTGAGCTCAGCACACCACCGTCTTCTCACTTCTCTCAGCCACCCATCTCCTTCCTACATTTTCTTTAGTTTCAATGTGCTGTCACAGGGCAGGGGGGAAAGCTGAAATAAGAGAAAAACAAAAGCATCTCATGCACATTTTAAGGGTCTGAGTCAGGAGAAGCGGTTACCCATTAGAATGGAACACTTTGAGAAATTAAACCATCTGAAGGCTAACAGCAACACACAGTGTTAAACGCCCTTCCTCCGGAGACTGACCTTACATAAAAATCCTTGAAGGCTTCATCTGGCATTAAGGCTTTTTGGGTTTTCTGTGTCTCTGCAGGATATCCAGCAGGAAGCCTGCAGTTTCTGCAAGTCCCCTGCTCTGCTGCCCACCCGGGAGGGACTCCTGCGAAACTCCTGCGAATGCTGGCACCGCTTCCCACACCCTCCCCCTTTCTGCTCCATTTGTGAGCACAGGTTTTGCAATCCTCCCCTGGGCTCACCCAGGGATTTCAAGTTCTTTGTGATTATGTGGCTGGGGCAGGAGCTGAATGGAGTGGAAGGAACGGGACGTCCATGCATTTTGTTTTGCTGACAATCCAAAGAACTGCTTCAGAAAAACGTTTTCTCCTCTCGACTCTCTCCATGAAAGAGCACATTTAGCAGTGGCCCGTGCAAAGCCCCTTTGCGGCGGAGAGCGGGCAGGAGAGCCGCCCCAGAGCCAGGCAGCGTCCCTGCCCCTGCCCTACCTGCCAGCACAGGTGGCCCCAGAACCGGCCAGGCGCTCGAGGATTCGCTCCGTTCCCCTTCCAACCCCTGACATCCCGCTCCACCTACCTGCACTGGTGAAGCAGTCAGCTGCTCACCATCCACCCGCTCTGCTTTTATCCACTTCTGCTCAAACCATCGGATTACCACAACACGAAGCGGCAGCGCCTCTCTGCCCACCCAGGCACGCGTTTTTCCATCCCAGCAGCAAAGTAACATCACCACCAAAATTATTTTTGCGGCTCTTTAGCACCATTGTTAACATCGTGGCCAACTGCTTGGTTAACATACCAAGGTTAAACAGTTTCAAATGCATGCCCATATACTATATAAAAGTCAGAAGGTCAAATGCTGGTCCATTTGTTTAGATGTAAATCAGAGGGAACAACAAACAGCTCTGGCATTTATGCAGCACCAAGCCAGAGACAGACCCATTAAAAAGACAAGCGCTCATCTGCTCCATCCTGCTATCTTGATCTGTTTCAGTCATGTAAATATATTCAAATGTTCACTCTAAAAATAATTGCAAATGCTGCAAGACCCACTTCAATGCATTGTAGCCGGAGCAGTCAGGATTTAAGGCCAACTGGAATAATTACAGCTATGCAGACCAAGACAGGCTAATTAGCAGGAAAGACCTGCAGTTTAAAAAGGAGGCTGGGAGCACAGAAGTGCTCTGTTCTTTGCAAAAATGGCTTTACAGTGAGCGTTTCCCACCGAGATGCTCCCAGCAGCTCCAGTCCGAGTGCCGCCGGAGCGGAACAAAGGGACTCACTCATTTTGCTGTGCAAAGCGGGAGGCTGGCTGGGAGCCCGCGGTACCGACCCTGCTCCGGCAGCACCTGGTGGGACAAAGTGCCGTGTCCCTGGGGATCACCCTGCCACCCCGGCCAGGGCAGACACACAGCCCCCACCACTGCCCATCCAACGCCACCAGCACGGGGAAGCTCTCGCTCTGCTGTGGGGCAACAGGAAAGGCAGAGAGGCAGGTGTCGACGGCTGCCATCGAGGAGCACGGCTTCTCCCTTCCTGCTGCAGCACGCCACTGCTCCCACCAGCAGAACAGCCCCACTCTGCTTCCTGCACGGCAGCCACGGGCACCGGGAGGGCTGAAGCAGAACAAACTTCTCCAGTGGGATTACCCCAGTGTACCCAGGCAGGCTGAACAAGCATCCGTGAGTGTGCTTGGCAGCGGTCTGCTGAGCAACTGCAAACAATCCCGGCTTATTTTCAACTGTTCTGTGCAATCCTCCACTAAGAATTCCCCAAAATGTATGGGGCTTATTAGTCTATGAGAGAACAGGGATGGATAATTTCCTCCACAGCAGATATCTGGTGGAAAATGTCATGGCATAATTAGGCAGCACGGCTGTCTGATCAGAGACGACCTTCTAGTCCTTCAGATGCCCAAGCTGGCTCTGAGAGCTTTCCACTCCAGCAGGAATTAGGGAGCTCTCAGGGGCTTCTCTGGCACATCACATCACAGGGACTGAAAACCACTGCAGCTGGTGACGGGGAGTAGAAATCAAAGTGCCAGCAGCTGACCCTGGGCTGAAGCCCCTGAGTGCAGCTCGGACACTGCAGGACAGGGACGGGCTGTGACCCACAGCCAGGGACTCCATCCCCGACTGCGATCAGGGCAAGGCTGGTACCAAAAGCAGAGAGCGTGAGCAAGGATGGGAGCTGGTGGGGAAGTGACAGCAGAGCAGTGACAAACAAGGACACAAGAGGTCCTACAGGCAGAAAGTCTTCCTTATTTTGCATGCTGATCGGACATTAGTATAAACAAAGCTTAAACCGTTTCTTGTCAGCTTGTGAAGGCAATACAATATTAACGGGGCATCAGTGGCGGTGTGCGCAGATGTATTCATCAGCCCACACCCAGCATCACAGGGGAATCAACTGCTCCGGCACTGCCAACCATATGTACTTACCTTCCCCCAGTAAGTTCATTTTGCTGCTAGCCGAGCTTCATGCTGAAACACAGGTGGCCGCGAAAATACCTAATGGGAAAGAAAAGCCACAGTGTTGATTTGCTTATTTATCACAGACACCTGCACACACTGTGACAAGTGATGCTCTCCTCTTTGGCAACTTCCCCTGCCGCACGCACCCCTCCCGCCCACAGCCTCCCTCCGAGCCCAGGGGAAAGGTGGTCCCGGTGGAGCCGGTCATGCTGAAACACAGGTGGCCGCGAAAATACCTAATGGGAAAGAAAAGCCACAGTGTTGATTTGCTTATTTATCACAGACACCTGCACACACTGTGACAAGTGATGCTCTCCTCTTTGGCAACTTCCCCTGCCGCACGCACCCCTCCCGCCCACAGCCTCCCTCCGAGCCCAGGGGAAAGGTGGTCCCGGTGGAGCCGGTGGTCCCGGCTCACAGTCAGTGCTGGCGAAGACGAGGGGCATGCCTGCGCCTCGGGCAAATGCCCTCAG